CGAGGTCCCTGTGTTGAGCAGAGAAACAGAGGAAGCCTGTTCACCTTCCACGTCCACGTCGTGCCTCTTTATAGCACAATGACTGGATCACAGGGGCTGTGTCCACTAACCTAATCCAGTCTCATAACTGCAAAGCCCCACCTTCAGATCCCATAAATCAATTAAGCTCCCATCTTCAATCCACTAACCTAAGACCCTGAGGAGCAGGAGTTTGGGGGACACCCAAACTATCATTCAAACCATAACACAGCCACAGGACCAGGATACTACTGAGAAAAAATCATGGTTGTTTAGCCAAAGTTATCCATGGGTGGTTTCAGCCATTTAACACTTGGATTCATTTCCCTGCCCTCAACCAGAGCCAGATACAAATGTCCTCAGGCAGCTGTCCCTGCAGAATTATTTTTAAAAAATCTATTCCACTGACGTGCTGTAGGGGGCAACATTCATTTAAAAAAGCCAGGGCTAGAGCCCACAGGACGGGAGTCATCTAGACCTTATGGAGAAGAAAGTGGGCCATGTTTTTAAAGACTTCCATGCTGGAGATTCAGTCTGTCCCATGGTTCTGTGTGAATGAGACTGGCCTTCAGTAAGAAACCTACTTAGGGTGCCAAGATCCTTGTGCCTCTTAAATTCTTCTGGCTCAGAGTCAAAACAGGGAGTCCTTGTGAGGGAGAATGACTTTCACATGGGATTCTGATCCTCACCACCTGACTCCAGGCTTTTGCTACTTTCGCCAAGCTCTGAGCCATTTCAGGCTCAAAGCTCCCGACAGAAATTGTGTCTCCTTCTGCCAGCGCGCCTTCAACCCTGGCACTGCCTAGGCAATAGGAAATTCCTAGCACTGACCCCTGGGGGGACTGACCTTGTCATCTGGGTCCTCTGGCCTTGACCAGTTGGACGCAGCAGGTTCTGATTCACCCCTACTGCCCAGCCCCTGAGATCCACAGGACAGTCCTGCTGAGGTGCAGCAGGCTTCAGTGGGCTTGGCTGGACTTTGTCCTGCATCTGAGGTCATCTGGGAGCTTGACTGGACACTGGCTGGTCTGCAGTAGCCCCAGCTGAGACAGCCCAGTTCTTTGTGCATGGTTCCCCATTACCTTACGCCTAGTCTAGGCTGTTGTTATGGTGGTGCGTAAGTCCCAAGACAGAGGTCTGAAGTGTACAAGGCCCTTTGAGGTCTATGCTTTAAAAGAGGATGTCCGTTCTCTCCTTCATTGGGTTGCAGAAAGTGAACCACATGAGTGATTCTTCATATTGAGAATAGAGCAGCAGTCACACTGCAAATAAATACATGATCCAGAGCGAGATGGAGACCCGGGGCTATTTTTAGTCACTCGGCTACAATACATGAGTGAAACAGAGTCAATAGCTACTGCTGGGTTGATGTCACTGGTCAACATAATAGTCTGTTTTCATTGTAGTTGCATGAGAAGAAGATCTCATAAGAGGTGAACTGAGATATGCTGTTAGTCACATGACTTTGATGGGTCTTAACACTTCTCAAGTTCAAATTCCTTAGCTCTGAAAAGGAAATGAGAATAGCACCAACATGAGATTGTTACAAAAAGTACCTGACAGAAAGCAGATGGAAATATCCCAAATTGTTGAATCAGTGAATTCATAAGTGTCCAGAAGTTGCCGATGACTGCAAGGAACAGAAGAGCTGCAGCCGCTGGACCGAGAACCGCGGAGGGCCCATTCTGCACTCCGGTCGGTGGCCTTGGATCCAAAGTCTGCAGCTCCCGGGTAACCACCTCTTGTTCTGTCTTGTCTCTCGGATAAACCATGGTGATGGATGATTTTGAAAATCAGGGCGGCTGTTGCCGCGGCTCATTAGGCTAATCCTCCTCCTTGCGGCGCTGGCACACCGGGTTCTAGTCCCGGTCAGGGCGCCGGATTCTGTCCCGGTTGCCCCTCTTCCAGGCCAGCTCTCTGCTGTGGCCAGGGAGTACAGTGGAGGATGGCCCAAGTACTTGGACCCTGCACCCCATGGGAGACCAGGAGAAGTACCTAGCTCCTGCCATCGGATCAGCGTGGTGTGCCGGCCGCAGCGCGCCGGCCACGGTGGCCATTGGAGGGTGAACCAACGGCAAAGGAAGACCTTTCTCTCTGTCTCTCTCTCTCTCACTGTCCACTCTGCCTGTCAAAAAAAAAAAAAAAAAAAAAGAAGAAGAAGAAAAAAATCAGGGGCCTGGGAAGGAAGGGGTGGCCTTCACAGAAAGGGTATTTCTAGTGAATGAACATTTGTCACAGCTCTGTAAACATTCAGGCCAGTTTTGCTCCTGGAATCTCAGAAATGTACCCTATTGATTCTTGAAATCCTCTTCACTGCCACTCATTGGTGGAGCAGGGATTGAGAGAGAAGTATTGATCGAGACAAGCAAACATTGGGAGAGACATTTATTAGGTTGTCATCTTGTTTTTTATAGAAGAAAGAAGATCTTTCAGCAGTTTTTTAAAAAAATTTTTTTATGAAAAGGTTTGTTTCATTCATTTGAAAGGCAGAGTTACAGAGAAAGACGGAGCGATAGAGAGAAAGATCTTCCATCAGCTGGTTCACTCCCAAGTGGCCACAACAGGCGGAGCTGGGCCAGGAGCCTGGAACTCTATCCTGGTCTTTCATGTGGGTGGCAGGGGCCCAAGTACTTGGGCCATCTTCCACTTTGGCAGAGTTTTTTTAAAAAAGGAAATTAGACCAATTTAATTATGCTTCTTTAAGACAGCTTTTAAAAAGTCATAATTGATGATTTTTCCACAGTGTTTTAGAACAAAGACTTCTTTGATTAGTAAAAGATCTTCGTCTGAATGTGATTTTTTTTGTTTCCTTTTGGTTGTCTTCCTCCTTCGGTCCAGGCTCTCTGATCATCTTAATGCAACCAGACCCACAGTTTAAACAACCTGCTTCCCTGTTCCCAGGAACTCGCGTCTTGGCACAGATGGAAGATGTTGTAGCGAAGCTAGGGAACAGCTCAAGAAAAGGGGCAGGATGTTGTCTGAACTCGGTTCTGCCTGAGCCTGCCGCGGTGCCATGGCTCTGGCCTTGGGGCGTTGGTCAGTATTAGTGGTCATATCTTGGCAACTGAAGTGGTTGCTTCTGGCCAGAAACTGACCAGAACTGCTCAGTCTCATTAAGGAGCCCTTCTGATCACCTTCTGGCGTGAGACACTTCAGAAATCATCAAACGGCGAAGGTAGAGGCTGGATCCCTTGAAGTCTTTCCAAAGGCTTTGGCGTATCTGCCCTTTGGATGAGCTTAACTAAACAGAGAGCTTTTGAGGTCTGGGGCGGGGATGGGGGAGCTCTCTGGGCACTGGCAGTAACACTGAGGTGGGGCTGGGAGGAGGGGCTTGGCTATTCTTGGCTTGCCACCCACTCCTTCCTTCCTTCCTTGTCCCCTCTCCATCTGCCGCGGGTACCTTCCCAGCACCAGGAGCAGATGTCTCACAGAGATCTGGTCTGTATTCAATCAATAAATTAATGTTCCATATGCTCTGGATCAGTACTGTCCAACAGAATGGTTTGCAATGAAGGCAGTGCCCTGTATGCTGTCCAGTATGATGGCCGCTAGCCACGTGTGGCTATGAAGCACTTGTACTGTGTTAGGGTGAATGAAGATCCAAATTTTTTATGTGCAAAATTTTAATTAAATGGCCATGTCTCCAGTGTTTGACAATGCAGCTCTGGGTAATAGTTCAGTGAGTAGCCAGAAAGTCTACAGCTAAAATTTGTCTTTAGAAAAATGATTGGGTGGATGTTTGACCTGACTGTTCAGATACCAGTTAGGATGCCTTCATTGCACATGAGACTGTTTGAGTTCTGTTGCTGGCCCTGGCTCCTGATTCTAGCTTCCTGCTAATGCAAAGGAGACAGCTCTGATGGCTCAAGTAGTTGAGTTCCTGCCACTCATGGGAGACTTGGATTGAGTTCCCAGTTCCTGGCTTCAAACTCAAGCTATTGCCAGCATCTGGGGATTGAACCAGCTGATGGACGCACTGTGTGTCTCAAGTAAATGAATTAAAGAAGAAATGCAAATAACTTTCAAGTCATGAAGGACCAAATAGTGCATGATTCCACTTGCATGAAATGTCCAAGGTAGGCAAATCTGAGGAGGCAGGAAGTTGATCGCTGGTTGTTAGGCTTGGCGTCGGAATGCAGAATGACTGCTGATGGCTAAACATTTCTTTTTGGTTTGATGAATATGTTCCACAGTTAGATTGTGGTGAGTGATATTTGCACAGTCTCGTGAATATATTAACAATGATTCAATCATACACTTTAAATGAGTGAGTTTTATGGTATCTCAATAAAGTGGCTTAAAAATGGCTCCCTAAGCTGATCTCCAGTGCAGTCATCATTACACATCCATTTTCCCCATCAAGTTTTGGAAGTGCTCCAATACTTGTTTATCATCATTACCAAGAATTACGCAACGTGCCTAACTGCACGTGCTGTCCTGATGTGTGACTGGCAGGCAGTAGGTTTGTTGACCCCCACATCCTCACACATATATGGGTGATGCCCTGCACTCTGGCAGGTCAGCAGCTGCAGGATCCCTGAGTGACAAGAATTTTTCAGCTTTATTACAGATTGAGTATCCCAAAATGTCTCCGATTTGGGAGTTTTTTGGGTTTTGAAGTATTTGCATAGACTTCACTAGTTGAACACCACAACCTGAAAACCCAAAATGTTCCAAAATCCAAAACTTTTTGAGAGCCTCGTGAGCATGAAAAAATTTCAGATTTCAGAATGTTGTGGATTTCAAACTTTGGGGTCAGGGACATTGAGCCTGCATAACCTACAAGACCACTGTGGCTGTGGCTGTGGCCCCTCATTGCCCGAAACCTCATCCTGCAGCATATAACTACTGGAGCCGTGTGTTTTATTTATTTATTTTTTTTGGACAGGCAGAGTGGAGAGAGAGAGAGAGAGAGAGAGAGAGAGAGAGAGAGAGAGAGAGAGAGAAAGGTCTTCCTTTACCGTTGGTTCACCCTCCAATGGCCGCTGCAGCCAGCGTGCTGTGCTGATCCGAAGCCAGGAGCCAGGTGCTTCCTCCTGGTCTCCCATGCAGGTGCAGGGCCCAAGGACCTGGGCCATCCTCCACTGCACTCCTGGGCCACAGCAGAGAGCTGGACTGGAAGAGGGGCAACCAGGACAGGACCCGTGCCCCAACTGGGACTAGAACCCGGTGTGTCTGCGCTGCAGGCGGAGGATTAGCCTATTGAGCCGTGGTGCCGGCCTGGAGCCGTTTTGACCTCAGCTCTCCTCTTACTCAGCAGTATTATTAAAGTGCCTCCCTCCCCCTGGTCCTCAGTTTCTCCTTGATAGAAAGAGGGCATTGCTTTTATCCTGACTTTGGAGAAGAAGAGAGTTTCTGGTTCTCCTTTCGCTGGATCTGTTTTAACTTTAGTTCAGCTGGGATAGTCCCCAAGATAGGAAATGCCCCTCCCCTTCTGGGAGCCTGGGTCCAGACACTAACCCATTCCAGGAGCTCCACAGGCAACAAACAGAATATCGAGGCAGATAAACTTTCTTCCCCTGTGGACCCACAGCTTACAGAGCTGTTGTGCTGGCTTGGGAATTTTAATAGCTGAGACATTTATCTTTTAGCCTTTGATCCAGATACAAACAGATTGTAACTTTGAGTCGTCAATTGATTCAATGCACAGCTTTCTGTATCCTTGGTGAGCAAAGATTCAGGCTTGAGGGTGAGAAGAGATTGAGGGAAGGAGGAAATTCTAGCTGTAAAATACCTCCTGAGATTGCCTTGTCTGTGGTCAGGTCTCTGTGGAATCTCTCGGGAAAGCTGATCTTTTTTCTTCTCCCATTTCTCCGATGGTCTTTTTGAAAACAAAGGCCTGCCAAAGAGTTGTACCTTAAAGAGTTGTACCTTAGTGACATGGAGGAACTAACAGTTAATTGTCATTATAAAGCCTGCCTTATAAATAACTTCACGTTGAATGATGAGCTGTGAACAGAAGTGGTCATTGCAACATATGAAGGATAATGAGAATCACAACTGCTCCTTGTCCAGTTACTGAGTTGTTCTTACACTTAAGCCCTGAGATGCTTCAGGTTCTTTGTATACATAGTTTTGTTCACTCCCTCACATCACAGCAGGAAGTGTGAGTGGTATCATCTCCACTTTACAGATAAGGAAACTAAGTCTTGGAGGAGTTAAGTAACTTGTCTACATCATACTGCTGTCAAGGGCCAGATGAGATTTGAATAAGAATGTGTGCCTGATTCCAGTGCTTCTATTTTGCTGTTACCCATCATACTATCATTAAAGCTACTTTTGACTCATTTCACTGATCATTGAGCCCCTCTTCTGTGTTAGGTTTGATGCAAGTTGCTGGAGATGCAGCCGTGAACAGATGAGTGCCAGATGAGTTGTCCAGGCAATCAGAGCTTTAGACTTTCAGAGAAGAACGTGGTAGCTTAGAGACTGGGGGGAAAGGAGTGGCGTTCATGCAGAATCGGGGCTTAGAGGAACAGTGCACACTTCCTGCAGCTTTATAGGGTCCTAGATTGGAGGGGCTTTGGGAGCTTGTTTTCTGATAGATCAACTTGTTAAGAAAAAAAACAGCTAGATGTAAAACAGTCTTGATAATTGTAATTAATTTTTGTGACTGACAGTTGTCTCTCTCCCACCCCATAGTCTTCTTATGCAAGATAATGCTTACTCTGCATCTCATTTGTTTTCTCAGTTTCAACACTTTGCTAACACATTTAATTTTTGATCTTGATTTCCTTCAGGGCAATGACAGGACCTAGCAAATATTTGTGAGCCAGAAGTGAACTCTGATCTACTTCCTAGGCTAGATGGCCCTGGAACTCCCCATGTGTGGCAGACACTATGTTCGGCAGAGGGGACAGGACCATCTAATGGGAGCACACACACTTGTAACCAACTATGATAAGGGTCTAGGGTGCTCTGGTAGAAGCCTCTCATCCAGTATTGGAAGAATCAGGGAGGCTTCTGGAAGAAATGAGGTCTAAACTGAAAGGTGAATGAACTATGGAGAAGAAGGAAAGACTTTGCTAGACAGAGTGGACCTCCTGTTCAAAAACTAAGCGGTGAGAGGGGACACAGGATGGTCAAGGAAGTGAAAGTGCAGTGTGTGTGTGTGTGTGTGTGTGTGTGTGTGTGTGTGTGAGAGAGAGAGAGAGAGAGAGACGCACACGCCCTTGCCTGTCTGTATGAAGCAGATGAACTGGCTGTGAGTTCTACCCAGCAAATTGGTGCCAAATGCTATGTTCTATGGGACAGGCAGATTGCCTGTTAAGCACAATAAATCCTTGTTGAAAAAACTGAGACACCAGTGGCTGAAATGGGATCTGGACCCAGGTTTTATAAATAATTAATGTTTTACTCTCAACTCATTGTGAGAACTCTGGACCAGTTCCAAATCAGCCTTGGACAGTGAGTGACCTAGTGTGTCCTCATGGGCCACCTAGGACAGAAATCAGTTTTGAGAGCTGTGAGATTTTCAGAGCTCAAGGGGCAGAGCTCCAACAGAGGCAGAAATACCCAACTCACAAATTTCTGCCCATGGAGCTCTGCTGACTTGGTAGCCTTACCACAAAAGGGACAGCACGCCTTGTTCCAGGTTTATTTGTGGATGCAAGGAACCTGACAGAGCTCTGTGGAGGTAAAGTCCTGGGCCAGCTGAACCCCAGTAAGTTTCAATGTCAGTTAGCAAATTGTGCAGGTGGTAACTTCTGCTGCTGCTTCTGTGGCCACCCGAATTGGACGAAATGATGGGGTGCAGGGACTTGTTCATTGAATTTCTACCAGGTTAGATCTTGACTGAGTAGCTTCTTTTGGGGCTTACGTTCATTGTTAAGTAAAATGTCTATTTTTGGTATAGTTCTTCATCGTTGTCCCATTAAATAAAGATTAGTGAATTGTCAAATGCAAGATGAACTGAGGCTAATGTTTTTGAAATAGAAAGGAAATGGAATTTATGTCTGGACTCTAGGACGTTTTTACCTCTTACAGAGTAAGTGCAAGAAAGTGATCCTTGTGTGTTTCTGTATCTTGAGAAAGGTCACTCTGCTTTCCAACACCCTCAGCATTGAGCAAATGTTTACATTCCACGTAAACACATTTGGACTTTAACGTCTGTGCTGCTGGTTACTAACCTTTTTTTTTTTTTTTTAAAGAAAGGCTTATCCATCTACGTATTTGAAAGGCAGATAGAGAGACAGAGAGACAGAGATCTTCCATCTGCTGGTTCACTCCCCAAATGGCCACAATGACAGCGGCCGAGCCAGGCTGAAGCCAGGAGCCTGGAGCTCCATCTTGGTCTTCCCCATGGGGGATGGGGCACAAGCACCTGTGCCACCGTCTGCTGCTTTCCCAGGTGCATTAGGAGGGAGCTGGATTGGAAACAGCAGTCGGGACTCAATGTGGGCTGCCGGTGTTGCAAATGGCAGCTTAACCCGCTGAGCTACTACACCAGCCCCCACTACAATGTTTAAATACAATGGAAAATGTGTCTAAATGTAATATTTTAGAATGCCTGACTCCTCTGACCCATGCCTTTGAGACTTGTTACTGCCAGTGTTAATGTCCCTGTACCCTGGCAAGGCTAGACAGACAGGCATTCAATGACTGAAGATGTCCCTCGGAGTCCATCACAAGTGGCCATTATGAAGTCTGGCTGTGAGCTCTACTGGGAACCCTGTCCCTTGTGGGCAGTGTTTCTTCTCACCCTGGTGTCAATGTCCAGCGGACTAAGATCCTCCTTCTCCCTGTACCCAGCCAGCGCCTCCAAGGAACGTGCCCTCCTACCATGTGCTGACCCAGTGAGTTGGTTTTCCAGGGACTGGCAGCTCCGAGAGAAGCTAGATTAAATGGACACTCAGAGTGCATAGCTGTACTGAAGCAGGGATAGGACGTGGAATGGAATCGGAGTGCTTCAAGGCACCCTTGCATTGCCAGCTGCTATTTTAACACTCCCCTCCTGCGCTGAGCCCCTTCGGGTTTGTTTGCTTGAGCTCCTCCTCGGCGAGCTCGGCTTGTTTCTGTGCATCAGCGTTTTCGCAAAAGCCGCTCCTCCAGGATTCCGGCCGGACAGCTGCGGAATAGCTGGCATTTTTATTCCCTTTTCTGTGTGTTGACAGCAGGTTTGAATCACTCTGCCCTGTTTTGTGTAACATAACCAGGGCAGAAATCATTTGAAAAACATTTAGGATGCCTAATTTGATCTTATTTTCGTGAAAGGGAGGCATGGCTCGGTACATTTTGTATTTTTGTGTTTGGAGCTTTATTAAGAACATAAAAGGACCTCCCCTGCCTGCCCCTCCTATTTCCTGCTGATGAACATGGGAGTGGGGGGATCCCTTCCCGAGCAGGAATCTCCCAACAGCCCACGGCCTCCACCCACACCCTCGGACGTTCTTTGCTAGAAGTCGGTCTGCCCAGTGCTGTGCTGCCAGCCGCCCCAACTGGGTCTTACCCGGTCAGCTGGGTTTCTGGCTGGCTTTCTGAAGCTCTCAGTCCCCAGCAGAGCCCTATCCCTTCATACAGAGATGGTCAGAAATGCTACAGCTTGGAAGCTGGTAAACTGTGAACCGGTAGCCCAAGCTGCCCGGTCACAAGCCGAGTTTGCACTGCGCCTCTCTGGAGGATGAGGCTGGGAGACACAGAGGAGAGGGAGGCAGCCCCAGCTCTGGTTCCAGGCCTGTGACCAATTCCAAGAGCCACCTCGGGATGCCACCACGCTCTAAGGGGCCATCTCCACCATCACACAGCTGCCCTCAGAGTTCCCCTTGGCCTCTGTGTCCTGTGCTTACCAGTGGTCACCTGATGGGTGGTGGCCATTTCTGTGCTTTGCTTTTCGCTGTGCCTTGCTCACCCTCCTGGAAGTAGTGCCGTCTCCAAAAGCTGCTTGTAACTGTGCATAAAACCTTTCCTTTGGCAAAGCCACGACTTAATCCATGGAAACTGCTTTTAACCTAAACGTGAACTGTGGGCTCCTTGTGCCAGAGATATACTGGAGCCAGCTTGTACCAGCTCATGAGAACTGGTTTTTAAATTTTCAGGAGTTTTGCAAGCCTGTGTCTGTCATGCTGGCAGCTTCCAACGTGCTGTGGTAGGAGTATTAACACTGCAGAAATGAGCAAGCACGATAAATCAGAACTTTTATCTCCCCTTCAGAGTCGGTTGTTGGACGTTGGCCAGTGCACCACTGCCCTGATTCTTTGAGAGTCAAGTGAAGTTGATCCTGCAGTGCACATGTGGGAGAAGATCTAGTGTTCTTCTTGATCTTTCTGGAAGCCTTTTGTGTGGCTTACTGCGTTTCACTGGGATGAGGACGAGTTACATTACTGATGGTTACTCTGTGTTGCTGAAATCCTTGAGTTGGTCTCTGTAGCCTCTGCACCATATCCCGCTCTTCTTACCTCCTGGCTCTGCCCCAGCTCATTCTCTACTCAAAAGACTGACACAGGCTTTGAGCATTGCGAACTATTTCTGAAAGTTTAGGGCCTTGGAGCAGTTTCACTATTGTAGTACAAACAGCTTGGATTTTAGTAATGGATGTTCGCATTGTTAAAAATCCCTTCACCTCCCTTGCCATTTGGAATCCTCTATGGCCATCTCTGTTTTGGTTTTAAGCTTCTAGGCACCTGCTGTGTTGTTTAACCATCCCGCTACCTTCTCCCTTTCCTTCTTACACAGAGTAATCTCTCTGTTTCCTTATCTCCTTCTGGGCCATTCTCCTATAGCTGCATCTTCCATGCTTTGAGTGGCCTGAAGATATTTCCTAAACCAAAGATGCTTCTATAAGGAGCTCTGGTGCCAAGTGTTAACATCATATTATTTCATATTTCATAACATACCCCCTTCTCCAAGGCTTGGTTGCTGACTGCCTTCAGGTACAGATTCATTTTACCCCAAAATGAGAGCACGGCCTCATCGCACTAACCCAGTGCATTTGTTCAGTGAATGTTTACCGAGTGCAGACTTCATGGTAGCCACCGTGGTTTCCAGGAGCTCAGTGGACCGTGGAGTCTACCAGGGACTTACTTCCCAGTAGGGCACCGAGGAGGCAAGCCTCTTGTGAGAAGCTGCCCATTGTTCATAAAGGGATAGAAGACAATGTTGGGGGGTGGGAATTACATTCAGGAGAACTCCCCAACATGGAACTTGGGATTCTTGATCACCATTTTTCCTCTCTCGTTGGCCGGCGGAGACTCATCGCCCTGGCCTCCGTGGACTCCTGCGTGTTGGCCGCGTTCCTGGCTGTTCTCTCTTCTCATTTGAAGCTTCTGCGTATCTAATAGCTGTTTTGTGTAAGGGCTCTACGCGCCCCCCTACCCAGCCTTTCTCCGTGCTGCTGTGCCTTGCAAATGCCTTCTCTGTCCTCGTTCTTCTCCCACCAATTCCCCACTCATCCTTTGATACGTTTCAGGTTAGGTTTGGTTTCCAGGAATCCTTTCCTCCAAGGACTAAGTATGAGATCCCTTCTCTGAGTGCCACATTGCCCCGTGTTTATTTCCTGGTCGTCCTCAGATACTCTGTAGTTGTCTGTCTTTCCTGAGCAGGTGAGCACCTTGAGGTCAAGAACTAAGTCACATTCCCTTTTCTCTCCATAACTATTCCAGAGCTTGATAAACAAAGACTCTAACCCTGAAGTGTCTCCTAAAGACTTTAATAAACATTTACTGTTTGGTGGTGGAGTGGATAAGGGAGTGACCTAGGGAGTTCAGGACAGTAAGTCAGACATGTACCTGTTTTCTGATACTGGACAAGCTACTTCAGGAGTGTAGCAGTGTCCATTTCATAGGGTTTTTCTGAAGAGTAAATTAGGCAGTATAAGTAAAATACTTAGCATAGTGCCATTTATATAATATATGCTTAAGTTATTGAGCTGTTATTAAGGATTAAAATCATAAACAGCAAATGATAGGGAAGGAAGGTAGTATTTCAGTGTAGGTACCAAAGCAACAATAAGTTCCAGTATTTAACCAGGGGACAAATTTCATTATTTCTAAATAACATCCAAGGCTGTGTCTGTGATTTTTGTATTTCAGGCACTAAAGATCAGCAGTGCAGCCTAAAACATCACCTAGAATTGTTAGTGAGACCCAAGTTTACTAAGAAAGAGTAATGAAATAACATGCTAAATCAGTGTGCGTTAAAACCTACCAGTGTATGTTGTTGCTCTTAGCCTGCTTAAATAGAAAATACAGCTAACTAGAACAGCTCTTGTCAGTTGTTTAAGGCATTTCTTTAAAAAAAAAAAATTATTTATTTATTTGAAAGTTAGAGTTACACAGAGAGAGGAGAAGCAGAGAGAGAGAGAGAGGTCTTCCATCCAGTGGTTTATTCCCCAATTGGCCACAACGGTGGAGCTGATCTAAAGCCAGGAGCCAGGAGCTTCCCCCAGGTTTCCCACACAGGTGCATGGGCCCAAGGACTTGGGCCATCTTCTACTGCTATCCCAGGCCAAAGCAGAGAGCTGGATCACAAGTGGAGTGGCCGGGTCTTGAACTGGCGTGCATATGGGATGCCGGCGCTTCAGGCCAGGGTGTTAACCTGCTGCACCACAGCGCTGGCCCTAAAGCATTTCCAATGAGTGTGTTTGCACTGTGGTAGGCTGATGTAGTGACATCTCTCTAAACAACCTTTATTCTATGTCAGGTATTGAAGATTAAAAAAAAAAAAAAA